CATGGAGGAAAGAGAAAGAAAGAAAGAAAGAAAGAAAGAAAGAAAGAAAGAAAGAAAGAAAGAAAGAAAGAAAGAAAGAAAGAAAGAAAGAGAAGAGAGAGAGAGAGAGAGAGAGAGAGAGAGAGAGAGAGAGAGAGAGGAGGGAGGGAGGGAGGGAGGGAGGAAGGAAGGAAGGAAGGAAGGAAGGAAGGAAGGAAGGAAAAGAAAGAAAGAGAAAAAAAGAAAGGAAGGGAGGGAAAGAAAGAAAGGAAGGAAGGAAGGAAGGGAGGGAAAGAAAGAAAAGGAAGGAAGGAAGGAAGGGAGGGAAAGAAAGAAAAGGAAGGAAGGAAGGAAGGAAGGAAGGAAGGAAGGAAGGAAGGAAGGAAAGAAAGAAAGAAAGAAAGAAAGAAAGAAAGAAAGAAAGAAAGAAAGAAAGAAAGAAAGAAAGAAAGAAAGAAAAAGAAAAAAGCAAAGCCTGAAGGACAAAGCCTCAACCAACCAAAGGGACGTGAGTTAGCTCTGAAGTCAGTGTGACTTGGCATGCTGCCGTGGAAATAGGTGTGTTGTTCAGGAGCAAAGAAATCTGGTTGAACAACTTCACTTCTCCTTGGATGAAGGATTGAAATTAGGCCTTGCAAAGGAGGAAACCTGAGGACTTTAATGTCAGGATCCCATGAAACACAACTCTCCCAATTTAGGGGGAGAGGAAGCCCAGCCAGTGGACCCGCACCACGTGAGTGGCTCTCGGGATCTCTGTCCAAGGGCGCTCAGACATCTGCAGCAACACTTAGAAGCTGTTTTCAAATCCCAAAGTCTCTGACTATTCTCCTAGACTCACACCAGATGAACATTCCTCCCTTCCCCTAAGTTCTGCAGTGCCCTTGTGCACGCTGTCCCCAACAAACAGAAACACCCGTTCTTGTGTTTTCAAGAAATCCATGACCAGCACATCCTTGCGTTGGAAAGTGGGAGCCCAAGCCAAACATGCTGTTTATCATTTTTGAAATGGGTAGTTCAATATATCAATTCCACGTTATAAATTGTTTTAAAAACATCACAACACCAAATGATTGAAATATGTGAAGATTCAGGCCAGCCCTGATAGAGAGCACACTCATTTCTTTATCCGAGTATTCAGTGCAAGTCAGCTTACGTCTTTCCAAGCAGCCTTACGTAAAGCTGCGTGGGATGATGTGGCATAGGAGGGCCCTGAATGCACCTCTTCCCACTGACACCAAATCTGCAGCCTCATATGGAGAAACTCCCTCTGAAGAAGAACTGAAAACCAGCTGAACTGACCTTCCACAAGGAATGATGGAAGACCACACCCAGATGGGCAGGAGAGGCAGAGACATGGTCTTGCCAGAAGCCCCCTGGCCCCCCAGTATGGAGACCCAGAACAGGGAGGGATTTCACAAGTGCAGTTTCTCCCAGAGGAGTGAAGGGTTTATGCCCCATGCCAGGCACCCCAACCCTTGGGACCTGCACCAGAGAGATGTGCCCCCAAAAAGTCTGGCTTAGAACAATGGGATTTATATCCAAGGAGCATGTGGTCTCACTCACATGGAGACCCGGGACAAAAGCAATCTAGACTCTTGAGCCTAGATGAAAAGCATCTAGACTCTGTGTGAAGGACATTCATTTTCTAATCTTAAGGCATCTGCTTGAGGGGTGGGGGACAGGTGGGACTCTCTCCAGAGATGAACACCATTTCTGCAGTCTCCCTCTATCCTACTGGCATGGGCAGGTACACAGAGACATGGAACTCTCCTGCTGCCTTGCTAGGGCCAGTGGGGTGAGTGGTCCATGATATTTTCCCACTGCCTTGCTGAAGCTGGCGGGCATGTGCCTTCCTGGGGCTGGAGGGTACAAGTGGTCACAGCATTCTCCCACCGCCTTGTTGCTGCCAACGGGATGCAGAGACAGCACTCTCCTGCAGCATCACCGAAGCCAGGGGCCATGGACGGCCAAGGCATTTGCCCACTGCCTTTCTAAAGCTGGTGGGCATGCCCTATCCCTGTACTCTCCAGCTGCATTGCAAAGCCAGCAGGTACCTGCAGCCCAAACAGTGGACACCCATTGATCACCTAGCCCTGGTGGCCAGGGGGCTTGTGTTCCTGGGCCCCACAGGACTATAATAATTGCAAAGACAGTTCCTGGCAGGATACAACCCCCAGGGTGCTGCACAGACAGCAGACCGAAGCACATCCCCAATCTCACCATGAAGAAGTCCTATTTACTTGTCCTGGAGCTTTTGCCTGAGGGACAGACTTCCTGCTTGCCACACAACCAGAGATTATGAAGGTGTTTCTCAGGGAACACAGGCAGAGAGACAGCATCCTTGCACTCAGCCCTGGCCTTGCCTCAACTCTCCTCAATCTCCCAGGAAGGAGCTTAAACATGTCTAGAGCCCTGTATTTTGCAACCTTCACCCAAAGGACACCTGTGGACCTCCTAGTCTGGAGACCAACAGAGTTTATGACTGTGGTCCCACAGGACTGTGTTTATTTGCATACTTTAAAAGCTGCTGCCTATGGGTCTAGCTTCCTATCAGCCTTAAACTACATTCTAACAGATCCTTCCCTTTGGAATATCCATATGTCTTGGCACCCCAGCAGAGCCCTGTCAAGAATAAATCAGGCTAGGGATCCCTGAGTGGCTCAGTGGTTGAGCATCTGCCTTTGGCTCAGGGCATGATCCTGGGGTTCTGGAATCAAGTCCCACATCAAGCTCCCTGTGGGGAGCCTGCTTCTCTCTTTGCCCATGTCTCTGCCTCTCTCTGTGTGTCTTTCATGAATAAAAAAATAAAATCTTTAAAAGAGAGAGAGAGAGAGAGAGATTAAATCAGGCTTCCTGGGCAATCGCAAAGGTTGGAAAGAGCTAGGGTGAGGTTGAATGACAAGGTTCATCACCCACACGAGGCCACTCCTTCAAGATGGGGAGAGGTTGCTTTTTGGCCTAACATGTAGAAACAGAGAGTGTCAAGCAAAAATGAAGACACAGAGAAGTATGTTCCAAATGAAAGAACAAGGTAAAATCTCAGAAAAATACCTTAATTTAACAGGGTAAGTAATCTAGCTGATAAAGAAATCAAAGTAATGGTCATAAAGATGCTGACCAGACTCGGGAGAAGCTCAGATGAATGCACAGTGAGAACTTCAACAAAGAAACGGGACACGTCGGCAAGTGCCAAGCATTAGTCATGGAGCTGAAGCACACAATGGAAGGGATCCCCAGCAGACCAGATGAAGAAAAACAGATCAGCCATCTGGAAGGCAGGGCAGTGGAGCTCACCCAAACAGAGGAACATAAAGGAAAAAAAGAAGTCAGAAGAAGAAGAAGAAAGAGAAGGAAGAAGAAGGAGAAGGAGGAGGAGGAGAAGAAGATGAAGATGAAGATGAAGAAGAAGAAGAAGAAGAAGAAGAAAAAGAAGACGACGACGACGACGACAGCCTCACAGGCCAATGGGACAACATCAAGTGGAATGACATTCACCTTACAAGGGCCAGGAGGAGAAGAGAGAGAGAAAGGAGCAGAAAGTTATTTGACAAAATAAAATAATGGCTGAAAAGTGCCCTCACCTAGGAAGAGAAACAGACATCCAGGTCCAGGAAGCCCAGAGAATTCCAAATAAGATGAACCCAAAGAGATCATACCAAGCACATTCTAATTAAATGTCAAAAGTTAAAGATAAAAAGATAATTTTAAAAGCAACAAGAGAAAAACAACTTGCTACATACAAGGGAACCCCATAAGATAATCAGCAGATTTTTCATCAGAAATTTGCAGCCAGAAGGGAGTGGGATGACGAATCCAAAGCACTGAACGGAAAAAAAGCTGCCAACCAAGAATACTCTACCCAACAAGGTTATCATTCAGAACTGAAGTACAAATCAGGAGGATGGTAACAAGATCTATGTGCTGATCACTTTGCGATATATACAAATATCAAGTCATTATACTGCACCCCTGAGGCCAATATAATGACATATGTCAATTATACCTCAATGAAATATTTTTTTTAAATAAATAATGCAGGGCACCTGAGTGACTGAGTCAGTTAAGTGTCTGACTTCTGATTTCAGTTCAGATCATGATCTCAGGGTCCTGGGATTGAGCCCCACATGGGACTCTCCACTATGCTTGGGATTCTCTCTCTCTTTCTCTCTCCCTCTCCCACTGCCTCTCCCCCTACTCATGCTCAATAAATAAATAAATAATCTTTAAAAATAAGTAAATAGCTCTACACAGGCTCACCCTAATATTCCTTATGTTGACATTCTCTGAATGAGATAAATTAAGCTCTAAGAGAACTTAGGCACCTAGTTACAAAATCCAAATGAATCTTAATTTCTGGGTTAGCCTGTCCTTAGCCATTACAAACAAATATTTTTTAAATTAAAAAAAACTTTTTATGTGGTAAAAATGTATTATTTTTTAAAAAAGATTTTATTTATTTAATCATGAGAGACACAGAGAGAAAAAGAGGCAGAGGCACAGGCAGAGGGAGAAGCAGGCTTCCATGTGGGGAGCCCGACATGGGACTCAATCTCGGGTCCCCAGGATCACACCCTGGGCCGAAGGTGGTGCTAAACTGCTGAGCTGCCTGGGCTGCCCAAAATGTATTATTTTTAAAAAAGTTCTATCTTAAAAAAAAAAGTTCTATCTTTACTTATTCACTTGACAGAGAGAGAGAGAGAGAGAGAGAGCGAGCATGAGCAGGGGAAGCAGCAGAGGAAGATGGAGAAGCAGGCTCCCCACTGAGCAGAGAGCCTGACTGGGGACTCTATCCCAGGACCCTGGGATCATTACCTGAGCCGAAGGCAGATGCTTAATCAACTGAGCCACCCAGGTGCCCTAATATTTATTTCTAAACACTATAGCTTCCAAGTCTAGAAAGGGAGCTTCATATTAAGCCCTCTGTCAACATTCATCACTCGAATTTGAGAAGTGACAGCTCTCTTTGTCAGCAGTTTGTGAGGGACCATCTCTGAGACCCGAGTCCATAGGAGGAATCTTACCTGTCCTCAAAGCACACAGTACACTTCCAGGCACGGGTCTTCCTCAGGAACACTCGGCACTCAGAACACACACGATGGCTGCAGCCCTGGCACACGGCCCCGCGGTTCAGCAGGAGCCCCAGCTCCTGATGGCAGCGTGCACAGGAGTTCTCTCTGTACTCCTGGCTCACGCTCTTTGCTCCTTTCCACCGGAGATGCTGCAGGTGTGTTTTCAGTTTCCTGTGGCCCAAAGAGTCAGATAATAAGATATGACTAAATGGAAGGACAGACCCCAGACATGCTCCTACATGGCAAAGGCCCCAACACCAACGCCATAGCACAAGAATAAAGAAGGGGCTTTGGCATCCAACACTCCCGGGTAAAACATGGATGGCTGTGTGACTATGGATCTCATGCAATCTCTCCAGAAGGGGGCTCTGAGATTTTTCTCCACTGTGAAACAGAGATGGAAAAAAGCCTACCTCCCAGGGATGCTGGGAAGATTAAATGGCAAAGCCTAAAAAGTGTCAGGCATGGAGAAGTTAGGGGCTAGTTTTGTTCTAGGCTCATCCCTCCATGCCCAAAGAGCATCATAAGGGTTAGCAAGAACAGAGGACAAAACACACGCAGAAAATGCCATCAATTTTAATATAGAAGGCATGGAAAGATCTATAATGATATGCACACCTGCTGCTGTCATTAAGTCTCAGTAAAATTATTTAACTAATGCTATGTTTTTGCTACTGGATTCTTTTTTTTAACGGGTGGTCAGTTCACTTCCAGTCCCTATTTCCCCGAGACAATACCCCAAGTGCCAGGGGACCTTAGACTGGACCCCAAAGAGGTGTTATTAACCAGAATACTCTTTTTTGAAACATCTCTGCTAGCTATTTTTAGAAGAGAGAAGTCAGTCTTGAGACGCAAGTTTATGTTCATTCAACTTACAGGATTTGCTCTAGTCAGTTCCCTCTGGAAAAAAATTTCCTTACCACAGTGTCCATATTACTTTGTTTCTATTCAAAATCATACTTCTAAATCACTGAAAGGCCTCCAATCATCAAAGACAATCCATTTTGTTCAGTGTATTATTTTTTTTAGTGGAAGAAAGTATAAGTGCATTTAGAGAGCTTTGGAATGACAGGAGAGGACAGAAAAAACACTGTAGGGGCGCCTGAGGGGGGCTCAGTTGGTTAAGCATCTGCCTTCAGCTCAGGTCGTGATCCCGGGGTCCTGAGATCAAGACCTGTTGTGGGCCCTGCTCAGTGGGGAGCCTACCTCTCCCTCTCCCTCTGCTCCTTCCCCTGCTTGTGCTCCCTCTCTCTTGCTCGTTTACTCTCTCTCAAGTAAATAAATAAAATCTTAAAAAAAAGGAAAAGAAATCACTCTTTCAGATAACCCACAAATTTCTCTCATTCCTCAAGCATTTGGTTGCCCCAAATTTTATTTTATATGTATTTTTCTCGACAGACTCTGAAAGAGTTTTGTCATTAAAAACAAAATCAAAAAGCCTATTCCATGTACTTATTTTTCAAACATCGATAAACGAGGCATCACCATTTATAAAGGTGAAACTTGACCGCTAACATCAGCAGTTTTGATCTGGTCTAGTCCTGCTTTATTAAGTGTAAACTATTATCAAATATCGCATGGCATGTGGCTTCCAGACAGACAAGGAAAGAAACTTCCTATTGACAGATCGGTCAGAGAACAGGCTGAGCAGGTTCATATTTTATGCTCCCCCTGTCCTCAAAGCCAACTTGGAAGCAAAAGCACACAAAGGAAAAGACAGGAACGGATTGCAGTGGACCTGCTATTTCTACGTTGCTTTCTTGGCTTTTCTGTGGGTCTTTGGTGACCCTCCCCCCCAAAAAAAACAATTTAGGCAACCTATCACTGGAGGTCTTTCCCTTGTGAAGCATAGTAGAAGCCTGAAAATCTTCCTTTTCTTTCTCTTTTTTTTTAAAGTATTTTTATTTATTTATTCATTAGAGGCACACAGACAGAGAGAGAGACAGAGGCAGAGGGAGAAGCAGGCTCCCTGGGAGGGAGCCCAATGTGGGACTTCAACCCGGGACCCCAGGATCACAGCCTGAGCCACCCAGGTGCCCCTGAAAATCTTCCTTTGAATTAGTCCCACAAAGTAGCAAAGGGACAAGCAACAGACAACAAACTTAGCACCAAAGGCATTATTTTAAGTGAACGACAAAAGCAGCCTCCCTTTTCCCTAATGTGGGGAGCTGAGTTATAGGGCAGGGCTACCTGGCCCCCACCCCTCACAGGGCCACTTGCAGAGGGGACGCCAGGACACCCATTGGTCAGCAAGCAGCAGTGAGCAAGCAGGTGGCAGCAAGCCAGGTGGCAGCAGGCTGCAAGGAGGCAAAGCCCAATCCCAGAGCCAGGCACCCGTGTGGATGACAACATACCGGATCCTTTCCTCCTCGATGTTTTGAACCGCCTGGTCTCGGTACAGGACCTGGAGGATGACCTCACGTTCCAATTCCTGGAGGGAATTCAGACTGACTTCCCGAGCCATTCCTTCTCTCGTGTGTAGACCCGAGTTGAGGGTCACTCCATGACCTGGACACGCACCCCTGTGCTATGGGTGAGCTCAGAGCGTCCAGGAGCAGCCCCGTGTGCTTGAAAGCGCTCCTTCTCCTATTTCATTGGCAACTGTTTGGCTCGTGGCTCTTTTTTTTCCTTTTTAACTGCGTCACACTCCCCAGGAGAAGAAAGTCCCAAGAGGCTGTCTGTCAGCTGGACTTGTGGCTCCCAGAGTCTCATGCCACCCAGGGGATCCTTTCCACTGGGCCCTACTGCTGCCTCTGATGGCTGTCTAAGACAAAAGCATATCTTTTTTCTGAGGTTTTTGCCAGAGAGGGTTATAAATCAGGCATGGCTCCAAGCAGATAATTTCTGCAAAGCAGAAGTGAGCCCCAATCTGAGGGAATTTACAAATGGCAGTTAGAAGAGTATCGAGGATATTTAGAAGCTAACTTTCCCCTCCAGTGCTTTCGGGTCAGCAGCAGTGGTAATTAGAAGCCCAGCCAGTTCAATGCCTGTAGGAAAGACAACAACGAAATGGCATCATTTTCCTGACTTGTGTGTGTTGGCAGCATTACTTCAGAACACACAAAATGTTCCACATGGACCTTTGCACCTTCTGCCATCGTGATAATGTAAGATTTTAAATTTTATTAAATTGGCCTTCTCATGTTTCTAAAAGCCACAAACTTCTAAACTTGAACTCTTCTAGAATGAATCCAGTATCTCCAGTGATTAGAGCCATAAAGGTCCATGTTTAACACCCATCATCCTAATTGGAAATACATTAAGAGAACTCAATGTGCTCAATGCTTAGCTATTAGTTTTACAATTCATTTCAAAACTCAAAAGAAATTTAATCAGTTGGGGATGTCTGAAGGATCATCCCACAACCTCTATCTATCAATTATTTATGGTTTTTAATGGTTTTCAAGGATGTCTTTTGCATGGGGTCTTGTTTCTGTTTAATGCTGGTTGAATGGTTCTTCATCCATTCTCCCTGCTTTTGTCCCCCTCATTGGTGACATTGGGCTCACATAACCTTCAATTTGCTCCTCCCCCCAACCAAGAAGATGGTGTTGAATTTATAAAACACTGGCTAGATGCATATCAATGAAATACAGAAAGTGTAGATCAAAGCAATATACTTTCTGTAATGCCATTTTGTTATCAAATGGACATGAATTCTTTAGTAATAAGATTTCCTTTCAATGCTTTAGAAGCTAAACTTTTGTTGGGCTTCAACAGAAATCCACATTATATTAATTTATGATCCATAACAAATCATTAAATAAGAGGTTAATAGAGCCCTAAGCGATCATTTTCATTAAGCAGAGATTCTTAAACTTTTTTTTTTTTCTTAATCTTTGGTAGTCTGGTGAAGCCTGTGTATTTAAATGCATAAAATAAAATATATTTAATTACAAAGGAAATCATATACCAAAACATTTTAATATAGTAATATATATATGTTCACTGATGCATGATCTAGCAGTGATCTAACAACTATTATAGTTTCAAAGTAGTGATTATAAATAACGTCTTGAGATAGCTGTAACATGCATTGTGGTAATGTGATTTCCATTAGTGATTTCTATTAGTTAACCAGTCCTGCTAATTCTACTGTGGTTTGATGCCTATATTCATAATGGAAAGAAATGCTATATTTGAGTTAGAGGTAGACAAAGATCTAATCTTTTCCCCATCCAAGTACACAGCCCTATCAACTAAGGATTCAAGGCTTAAGGGATTCTAGATTTGTCAGTTCCTCTACTGTGGGACAAAGTTAAAATGCATGGCTCACCCAACTGCACAGGTTGCATGAATAGAAGAACAGAAAGACACAGAGCTCTGAAAGGGGCACTCTTGGCCTGTAGGCTTCAGGGAAGTACTCACCTGTGCCTGCCCTCAAAAGGCTTCCTATCTAGAAGGTGGCACAAAGCAACAGGATGCCGGGCTTTGGCCCAGGCTGGCTGGTAATCACTATATGACTGGTGCAAAGCCTTGACTTGTCTTGGTCCCCAGTTTCTGGATGAACAGATGGAACTCACAGATCTTAGTTCCCAAGGCTCTGAGTCTCTGGAAAAGAGGATAGCAATACAGAATAACGTATAATCAAGTAATAAGTGGTAAGGTGCAAATTGGCCAATATGTCATCAACTTTATGAGCTTATTTCTTCTAAACCTGCCCCTTGGATCTTCTTTCTTCTTATTTATTACTGGACCGAGAACGATCCAGTTGGTCTGATTCTCAAATATTTGAAATGAAGATTTTTGCACTTGGCTCAAAACAGAAGATTTGTATGCACTGAGCTTTCTTTTGATGTGGTTTTTGCACTCTGCCCTCTGGCTCTGGTCATGCAGTATGAGGTTGGAAATGATGGAAATGACGTTAATAAGTGGACTCATTGGGGGAATCCCAGCACAGGCAAATGTTCACTCATTCAGGTAGCTGGGTTTTACAGGAATACAGGATTCAATTATTACGTAAAATCAAATCCATGGCTGTGGGCTTCCAGTAGAAAGGGCCATTTTCAAGGATGAGAGAGAGTTCATCCTCCCCTCAGTGGCCATTCGCTCCTACTTACAGAAAAGTAAAATTCAGTTTGTTTCTCAGATCCATCCATCCATCCATCCAGTAAACATTTATTGAGCACCTTCCAAGTGCTATTCAACTGCTTAGAATATCACTCAAACTTAAATCACTCAACTGGTGATTTACACTCTATCCCATGTATAACAAGACTATAATGTTGCTTACGATAAAAGCACATACAGGACAATTAAAGTCAGCAGTCAGTGTGGAAATGGGAGATCATTCTACCAGGAACCTGCAGTGAAACAGTCACTGTACTTGAGCATTGGATGTATTTCTGACTGTCCTAGTAGCTAAGGCAAAACCAAACAAAATGAAACAAAACAAAAAATCAAGGTGATGTATATCATTCTGATAAATCAAAGGAAGATGAGAAGGACCTCCTCAAGATGTAAAGGGTATAGACCAAGAAAACAATTAGTCAAGCTGTGGTTCAGCAGAAGAAGCAAAATTGTGCTTGAGGTATCATTATTAAATTGATCTTAAATTAAAGCTAAGAAGCTAGCACCAAATCATAATTCATTAAAAGCATTTCAAATAGAGATCAAAGCATGGTGCTTTCTAGTATTACAAGGCAACACTGGCACAAAGCATTGAAAACAAGAGGATAGTTGTTTAGTATCCATTCCCCTGTGTTTTTTATTCTTGACTTTCAGAAATTTGATTCTAGCTTCTGTAAACCTTCAGTCATTCAAGCACTTGGTTATTATTTACAAGTAAAGCCTTCTATTGTTAGATGGAAATGTACTTTTTCCTTTAACCTGCAGGATCTGTCTCCAGATCCTCTGTAAACAAGAGGTGACTTTTGGAAATGATGCCATCAGTACTGCAGAGAGCATCACATCATGGCCATAAATTGAGACTGTTCATAGGGCATCACTTTAGGATCATTCACAGCAAGATTTAACAGAAACCCAGACAGATGTTTTCTCTTTGGTTTCTAGCATTCTCCTAGTATCCCACCTGGCTTGGAGGTTTGGATATTCCATTTACCGTGCTTAAGCCACAGCTGCTTCATCTCCTTGGGACTTGCCCAGGATTGTCATGAGGGCAGTACCACACTTACATCTTTAGCAATTTGTGGGGTGCTTTTGGTTGTCACAGTGACAAAGAACTGTCTTGCATCCCCATGCAAATGTTGACTATCTTACCAGATAATTCAATTATGAAAAAATCATAATTACCTGATAAAATATAACTCTTATAACAACACAAGGTATATTTTGCAGGATTTTAATATACTCTGATTTTTCCAGGATGCAACTCTTGTGTAGACTGAAGGAAAACTGTACTTTGTTTCTTTTAGAGCTTTAACAAGAGCTGTTTATCATTTCAGAAAGTTGCATCACCAAAAGCAGCATTGTTTGTAGTATCTGAATGACTCCTTCCACATACCGGTAACAATCTGCATTTATAAATGTCATATTGGGGCAGCCCTGGTGGCGAAGCGGTTTAGCGCCTCCTGCAGCCCAGGGTGTGATCCTGGAGACCCAGGATTGAGTCCCACATTGGGCTTCCCGCATGGAGCCTGCTTCTCCCTCTGCCTGTGTCTCTGCCTCTCTCTGGCTCTGACTGAATAAATAAATCTTAAAAAAAAAAAAGTCATATTGGATGTGACTCTATTTACACACACATCTGACAACTTCACTGGGTCTTCTAACGTAGTTTACATATCCAAGTACCCATTACATGGTAATTATAAGTATATAATTTATAAAGTCCTCTATTTTTCCTTTTATCATGGTAATTGCATTGTACTAGTAATAGCGTGTAGGTAAGTTATAGTATACATGAATTCTGTTTCTGGATAGGAAAAGGTGAAATATAATATATTGCTTATAATGAAGGAGCACTGAGTTTCATAGCTTTAAGGGGAGCCCAGGTGGCTTAGTCGGTTAAGCTTCTAACCCTTGATCTCAGGGTTGTGAGTTCAAGCCCCACATTGGACTCTGCTGGGCATGGAGCCTACTTAAAGTTTTCATAGAAGATCTTCATTAGAAGGGAAGATCCAATAATTTGTAAGACCACCTACAAATTAAGCTATATAAGTCTCTTGTTCATGTTTCAACACATTATTGGGTTTGTAGGAGAATGGGATTTGGGAAATAGAGAGGGGTTGGTGGTTGTTTTTTTGTGTTTTTGGTTTGGGGGCTCCAGTTTACAAATTTGCATAAGTAATTTCAGGTCTGATTTCCAGGCTGTAATTGAGAGGTCAAGGTTCTCCTTCCAATGCAAAATATTTGAATTATTTCAGCTGCATTTTTTCAATCCTCTTCAACGGAAGTTCTGGGGATCTTTTTGTACTTTATACCAGTTAGGCTGGCATTTGAATTCTTAGGCATTTTGTATCAACTGCCAACTTGGAGAGTCCACTGTGTGATCCATCTTGCAAATCACTCAAAAATGCTTCACTGAAACTGTTCTTAGCTCCTCGTCTGCTTATCCAAGACAAAGTGCCCCCAGACCCCTGGCAACAATTTACTTATCTTTAATTTTTTAAGGTTTTATTGTTGTTGTTTAGTGAACTTCCTAGTCAATAGGGTGGCAGATGGAGTCAGTAAGCAGCGCAGGCCCATGGTA